CATCTCGTTGTAGATGGGAGGGATGCTGTACTGGCAGTTGTAGGGGAGGGCCCCCAGGGATGTCGGTGTGTGTGTGTGTGTGTGTGTGTGTGTGTGTGTGTGTGTGTGTGTGTGTGTGTGTGTGTGTGTGTGTGTGTGTGTGTGCGTGCGTATTGAGGTGGGGTGGGTACAAAAGGGAGTTTTGTAGAGGAGTGCTGTCGCATCTCGCATGATGGCATGCGCGCGTCCGAGCACGGCAATCTTTCGGTTGTGGGGGGTGGGGTTGTGAGCCCACACCAGAGAGCCGGAGGTGTGTGTCCGCGTGAAGAAACGCGGGCTACGGAGCAGGCGCGTAGCTAGTCGGAAAGGTGCACGGACCCAGTCTTCTGTTCTGCATCTAAGGGGCGCGTGCGAGGGCGCCAAAGGAGCGGAGCGCGCCGACAAAGTCGGTGACGACGGCCGTGTCGCCGGGCGGGCAGAACTCGGGCTGGGCCTTGTCGCTGTCGCACGGGTCGAGCGGCGCATAGACGATGATGAGCACCTGCGCTCACGGCGTTCTCCTGAGTTTTCTCGACGGCCCAGCTGCTGCCTCTCGCGGCTTGGCGGGTGAGGGCGGGAGCGCGCCACGATGTACAGGAGGATGGCGACGGCGGCGAAGGAGGTGTGCCTCAGCGAGTCCATGTCCTTGAGGAAGGCGATGGGCGTCGCGATGGCGACGGTCACGATCACCCACAGGAAGCGCGGCCCACCAAAGGTCTGAGACCGGATTGCGGGTGTGCGGAGGGGTGGGGTGCGGCTCGTGGCGTGAGAGGAGCCTGCGGTGTGAGAGAGAGGCGGCGCGGGGGAAGCAGCACGTATGAGGGATGACTTCTAGGTGTATGCGCCACAAGCAGTTGCGGGTCTAGTGGCGGAAGTCTCTACGCGTGCGTGGGCGTGAGGGACGGCGCGGGCGGCGGCGCTACCATCTCGAAGTTGCCCGTCGAGACGATGACGTACGAACACGCCGTGCCGACGCAGTTGAGCGCCACGGCCAGGTCGATCACGATGGAGGCGCGGGCCGCCGCCTAAGGCAGCACTGGCAAGGTAAGCCTTTCCACCTCCACACAAGGGCGGAAGTAAGGGGCGGGTGCGGAGGGGGGGCGCCTTGTCTCCGATCTCGCCAAGACTCGTGGGGCGGCCAGCAAAGCGGCAGAGCCTGAAGACAACCTCGACCGAGAACGCGTTGGCGAGCGACATGAGGAACATGAGCACGAGCCCGGGAATCCAGCCCGAGCGCTCCATCACCTGCGGCGGTTGCGGCAGAGGCCGGTGTTAGCACAGGGCCGAGGGCGGGTGGCGGTGTCCGCATATTGGCGTCGTGCATGTTGGCATCATATGTACTCACCCCTGGCATGGCAAGGAGGCCGGTACCCATGAGCGTGTTGCAGAGATTGATGGCGGATGAGAGAACCGTGGCGCTCCCGTTGTCCGCCGAGGTTTGCGTCGGGTCGAAAAACTGCACGAGCGATGCCTCGCGAATCGATGAGCGCCTCCGCGCGGCTTGGGTGTCGCGGACCGTTTCGCGGACCGACAGCCCGGTGTCGCGAACACACATCGGTGCTTGCCTAGATGGGTCTTGTTAGAGGCAAGGCCACTCGTCGCTTTGGGTGAGCGCCTAGATGTGCGGGGGGTACACCAAGGCAAGGCACTCTTGTGCGTGTTAAATAAGTTTATTTTTTCTCACCGTCGGTCCCACATACGGTCTCGTCCGTGCCTCGCAGGCCGGTGAGATTGCTAGAGGTGGAGCATGCTGCTCTAGCCTCACATGTCACTTCCTGTTGTCTGTTGTTTGAGTTGTGCCCTTGTTTGTGCCCTTGGCATCGTGGAGTGCTGGGGGGGGCGACAGGAAGGATGTGGCCCTGAGTTATGTGTACGCCGACTCAGGGTGTGTGGCAGCCAGCTGGCTGTGTGTCTTGTGAGCCTTTTGTGTCTGTGTGTCGCTCGTGCGTGTCGTCATCATCTGTCTAGCGTCCACCCATACCGCGTTGGTGTCCAGTCCGAGCCTGGCTGTTCTTCACCTTTCTACCTACCTACCTACCTACCGCCGGTGGTGGCGACAGAATCGGACAGAGAAGACGAGGCGGTGGCGGGGCCGCGGCTGAAAAGGCTAGGAGGGGAGGTCGGGCCCCGCGCCCGTCAGACGATCGGAAGGCGAATAAGAGGAAGAACTCAGAGGAGAGGGGAGCCTCCTCCGGAGTGAGGATGAGGACCTTGCGCGAAGGGGCCCTGAGCGGCGACGTCGTGTGAGAGTGCGTGTCGTGTGCATGTCTGGTGGGCGACGTTCGGCCTGTGTCGCAAAAAAAATGGCATTGTACTAATGGATTTAAAAATGGAGCCATGCCTGCATAAACTACTAACTAAATCAGCGGAGTGGGGAATCAAGATGACACAACGAAACGCGCCCGGGGGCAACTCTGCGCGGCGAGACTCAACACGCGTCGTCAACAAAGACTTGCTTCGGAACGGCCCGCTTGTTCAGACCCACGCCTCGACCTTCTTGGGCAGCAGCTGGTTCGACAGGTCCTCTCCGTGTCCTAGGCCGCCGGTCTCGCCCTTGCCCCAGGTAAAGACGGCGCTGTCGGCGGTGAGGGCGATGCTGTGGGCGCCTCCCGCCGACACGGCGATGACGCGCTGGCCAGCCAAGGCCTCGACCTTCTTTGGCAGCAGCTGGCTCTGCTGGTGGTCGCCGTGGCCCAACTTGCCAAAGGCTCCGCAGCCCCAGCTCCAGACAGCGCCGTCGGCGGTGATGGCGAGGCAGTGGCCGGTTCCCGCCGACACAGCAACGACGTGCCGGCCAGCCAAGGCCTCGACCTTCTTTGGCAGCAGCTGGCTCTGCTGGTGGTCGCCGTGGCCCAACTTGCCAAAGGCTCCGCAGCCCCAGCTCCAGACAGCGCCGTCGGCGGTGAGGGCGAGGCTGTGCTCGCGTCCAGCCGAGACAGCGACGACGCGCTGGCCAGCGAAGGCCTCGACCTTCTTGGGCAGCAGCTGGCGCTGCGTGTCGCCGTGGCCCAGCTGGCCCCCGCCTCCCCAGCCCCAGCTCCAGAGGGCGCCGTCGGCGGTGAGGGCGAGGCCGTGGCCGGTTCCCGCCGACACGGCGACGACACGCTGGGCAGCAAAGGCCTCGATCTTCTTGGGCAGCAGCTGGCTCTGCGCGTCGCCGTGGCCCAGCTTGCCATGGTGACCATAGCCCCAGCTCCAGACGGCGCCATCGGCGGCGAGGGCGAGGTTGTGGTGGCCTCCTGCCGACACGGCGACGACGCGCTGGCCAGCCAAGCCCTCGACCTTCCTCGGCAGCTGCTGGTCCTGCTCGTCGCCGTGGCCTAGCCGGCCTTGGCCTCCATCGCCCCAGCTCCAGACGGCTCCATCAGCGGTGAGGGCGAGACTGTGGAATCCTCCAGCCGACACGCTCACGACGCGCTCGCCGCCCAGCGTCGACGGGAGCCGCGTCGGCGTGTTGAGCCGCGTCACGCCCTCGCCGTGCCCGAGCAGCCCTAGCGTCCAGTGCTCAGCCCTTCCGCAAGACGAGAGCCGCCCCTCGCCGTCGATGAAGACGCTGTGCCAAGAGCCAGCCGCCACCCTCGCCGGCGGGTTGGACTCGCACAGCAGCGCCGAATAGCACAGCCACCGCACGTCGCAGCTCTCGCCATCTGGCTGCGCCGGCAGCTCGAAGCCGCGCTCTTGCGCCCTCAAGTGGATGCCCTTTACCGCAAGCGAGGCGTGGAAGAGCAGCGAGAGATGGCGCGCACGAGGAGCTCCGTGGGGAGGTCGAGGAGGCGGGCGGGCGGCGATTCTGGCGAGGGGGCGGCGGCGGAGGCGGGGGCGAGGCGACGCGAGCGGCGGCGCGGCGGGGTGGACATCGCGAGGAAAAGAAAAACTTTCATCAACCACGCCGCGCTGGTGTCCAGTCCGAGCCTGACTGTTCTTCCCCTTTCTACCTAACCTAGGAGAGAGCAGAGCCGTACGATACACGATCATTCATGCCCTCGGGAAGCCACATCACGGACTAGCAACAACCCTCTCCCCTTTCTCCCAGTAAGCTAAAAGTACGTACCTTTACCTCGAGGTACAAAGATAAAGCGTAGGCTAGAGCGAGTCATGCACATGCTCATCATGGCTGCATGGATGGATGGACGGGCCCCGGGGGCGTGCCATTCAGACATGCACATGCGCATGTACATTGCATGCACATGCAGTCACAGAGAAATAAGAATTTAAACAAAACAACTCTCTCTCACAGCGGACAGGCTCGACAGAGAAATAAGATCGAGCATTAAAATTCATGGAACACGCATACCGCGCTGGTGTCCAGTCCGAGCCCGGCGGTCCCCGCCGGTACCAGCGAGCGTAGAAAATACGCACAAAGCACAAAGGGGGCCAACGAGGCGAGGCGCTAGAGGCGAGGCGGCGACGCGGGGAAGCCGGGGAAGCACTGTCCTGTGTATCCACTGAAGCAGCCTCCCAGCCTCCCAGACATTCCTCCCAGGAAAAGTTGAGCGCAAGGCTGTCCACGTTTTGGATATCACGAGAGTAATTAATGCTATTGGTGTCCCCGTACGAGTTCGAGGTCAGCGGCGTGCAAGACGACCAACGCATACATCAGTGACAGTGTGCCGCCCGCTCTCTCGCACAACACCTTACAAACTCGCGCAGGCTGCGATTTTAGCTCATAGCTGTTTTCGAGCTTGTTTTTGTTTTCAGACTAGGCGGGCCGACCTCCTCGGAGGCGGCGGGCGGGCGCCCACTAACACCCTTGGCAGCACAAAGCCGCGCCAGACGTCCGCCAGCTCTGGAGCCGCTCCCTCGCGGCCCTCGAAGCGCTCCTCGTCCCACGCGATCAGGTAGCCCAGCCGCATCACCTCGACCGCCCACTTGCGAGCCGGCTCCGGGAAGAGCTCGTGCGACTGCGGCGACCACTCCGCCGCCTTGAGGATGAGCCTGCCCACCTCCCCCGCCTCGGCCGCTGGCTGCAGGTTGGCCGGCCTGAGGGAGGGCAGAGGTGTGTCAAAGAGAGGATCCGGCGAGTCGGGGAGAGACCATTGCATTGCGCGCCTCAGTGCGAGTGCCTTGGCCTCGCCCGCCACGCGCACGCCGAAGCGTCCCGTCGAAGCGCTCGCGGAGACGACGACGCCGACCTTGCCGTTCATCGAGGGCCGCGAGACGAGAGAGCGGATCACGACTGTGGAACCGACGGCCGCAGCGGTCGGATCCGACTCGCCCCACGAGCAGAGGACGCGCGCCCGCTCGAGGGCAGAAGGCTCGCCGGCGAGCGGGTCGGCGCCGCCGCGCAGCAGCGCCCGCGCACGCTCGACGGTGAGCGCCTGCGGAAGAGGGGCAATGGGCGTGAGGACAATGCACTCGCGCCTTCGGCCGCTAGTCTTGGAAACGCCTCGAGGTGCTGGAGCGGCGTCCAGCCGCGGCTGACAACCAGCCAAGCGGCGAGGTCGGCGTGGCCTTCGCGGTTTGCGGCCTCCTCGGGCGCGCCAAAGGGCGTTGCGGCGCGGGCGGCGCCGTAGGAGGAGAGGAGCTTGGCGACGTCGAGGTGGCCGAAGTGGCACGCGGCGAACAGCGGCGTGGCGCCCTGCTCATCGGCTTGGTCCTTCGCCGCGCCAGCCTCGAGGAGCAGCCGAGCGCACTCGAGCTGGCCCTCTTGACACGCAATGTACAGCGGCGTGGTACCATCGTTCAACGCTTGGTTGATGTCAGCGCCAGCGCCGCGCAGCAGCTGGACGCACTCGAGGTGGCCGTGCTCGCACGCGACCATCAGCGGCGTGCCGCCGTCGTGCTTGGCTTGGTTGATCGCCGCGCCCGCCTCGAGGAGCAGCCGGGCGATCTCGGGGTGGCCCTTTTGGCACGCGACGAACAGCGGCGTGCCGCCATCGTCCTTGGCTTGGTTGACCGCCGCGCTCGCCTCGAGAAGCAGCCGGGCGCACTCGATCTCGCCAGCGAAGCTCGCAGTACTCAGCGGCGTGAAGCCTCTGGCGTCAGCTTGGTCGGTCGCCGCGCCAGCCTCGAGGAGCAGTCGGACGATTTCGAGGCAACCCTTCTCGCTCGCAACGGACAGCGGCGTGACGCCGCCCTTCATGGCCTGGTCGGTCGCCGCACCGGCCTCGAGAAGCAGCCGCGCGATCTCGAGGCGCTCGTTCTGACACGCGATGAACAGCGGCGTGCCACCATCCTGCGTGGCTTGGTTGATGTCAGCGCCAGCGTCGCGCAGCAGCTGGGCGATCCCGAGGTGGCCCTGCTGGCTCGCGATGAGCAGCGGCGAGAAGCCTCCACCCGCCGCTTGGTTGACCGCCGCGCTCGCTTCGAGAAGCAGCCGCGCGCACTGGACGTGGCCCTGTTGGCATGCAATGAACAGCGCGGAAGCGCCGCCGCCAGTCGTCACCCCGACGCTCGCGCCACCTTCGAGCAGCAGCCGCACCGCCTCGGCCTGCCCGTGCCGAGCGGCCCAGGTGAGCAGCGTGTCCTGCCTCTCGGTGTCGTGCCGCGCGTCGAGCTGGGCAATGCGTGACGTGCCGCGCGTCAGCTCAGAGAGGAGGGCGAGCAGTGAGGCCAGGTTGCCCTGAGCCAGGTCGGAGAGCACGAGGGTGGGGCAAATAGCGCCCCTCATGCCACCACCAGGAAGAAACCGACGGCGTTTTGAGCTCAAATTTTTTTTGTCGCTACTACCTCTATCACCGGAATGCACACAGAGCCCTGCCACTCTCGACGGCCTCCACCTCTCACGCTGCTGCTGCGTGGCTTCGCCGCCGGGCTGCTGCTGCTGCTGCTGATCGCGCTATCGATACGCATACACAGAGGGGCGCTCTCGGGCGAGCCGACCGCTCTCGCGTCCTCCAGCGCCCTCGCAGCGGCCTCCTCCGCCTTCACGCGGACTGCGAACAGGGCGTCTGAGGCTGCGTCAGCGGCCTCCTCCGCCTTCACGCGAACTGCGAACAGGGCGTCTGAGGCCGCGTCCGACACATTCGTCCCCGAGCGGTTCACTCCGCCCTCCGGCCTGCCGCCTGGGACCACGTGCGAGTACCTCCCGCCGTGGCTCGAGGCGGCCATGAACAGCATGGTGGCCAAGGCGGTCCAGCTGGTGACGCGCTACCCCACCCTCTCGCATCTTCCCATCGACGCAAAGGTCCGCGTCGGGCTCATCGACTACGACGTGCGCAACATCACCATCGTCGACCTCTCCCTCTCGCAGATCCGGATGGGCGCCTGCCGCAAGCCGAACGTCCTCACCGACGGCGCCACGGCGGCGCAGCAGGCGGCGGCCAGCTGGCGCCCCGGCCTCTACCTCGCCCGTCTCTGGGACGCGCTGACTCACCCCGGCCTCTACCTGGGCGAGGCCGGCGGCGAGGCGAGAGCCGCGGCAGCTGGCTGGCGGCCGGGCAAGTACGCGGGGCTGCTGACAAAGTGAACCCCCCCCCCCTCTCTACCCCCCCCCCCCCACTCTCCCACCCTCTCTCCGAGCAGCGTCTCTTCACCAGAGCAGCCTCCCCCCCCGCCCCCGCTGTGAACAGGTACACGCCGCAGCTGCTGCCAGACGCATACGTCGTGCGCGTGCGCGACGTCAACGTCACCGAGTCGGTGCGCGCGCACTACGCCGGCGTGTACGGCCTGGGGGCCTTCGGCATCGACGCCGTCTGCCAGCTGCGCGGAGAGCTCGAGGTGGTCGCCGTGTACTCGCGCCCCGCCGCGCTGGGCGGCACGACGGGCAACGACCACGGGGAGGTGGTCGAGGGGGGAGGGACAAAGGTGACGGGCTGCAACGCACTCTTCGACGTGCGCTCGACCGACCTGTACGGGCCGGGCGGGCTCGAGCTGCAGGAGGTCGGCACGCCGGTCTCGCTCCCGTTCGGGCGGCTGCTTTGCTACGGGCCCGCGGCGCTCGCCGGTCCGCTGTCCGGCTTGGTCGGCATCAGTCTCGCCGGCGAGGCGAGGGCGCTCGCGGCGCGGCTGAGGGGCGAGTTCTCGGGGCTCGCCCCCATGCTCAACGACGTCCTCCGCCGCTACTTGCCCGGCGAGGAGTATGAAGGCTGGTACCTGGGCAAGTACGCCCAGAAGGGCGGCGAGGTGCTGCACGCCGAAGCCAGCGCGCGGTACCCCAGCATGATGTATCTGGGCAGGGCGGCCGACGCCGTCGCGGTCGCCGCAGGGGTCGTGCCGCCGAGGCCTCCCCCCGCACCGTTCGCGCCGCTGGCACGTTGGGACGAGCATAGATTTTGGCATTAGAGTAAACTCTCATAGGAGGATCAGCCGACACATGAGTGTTCTTTCGCAGTACAACAACAACATGTACATGTAACATGTACATGTCATGTTGTGCATGTGCATGTGCATGTTCGAGCCGTGTGTACGTGAGTCGTGACACGAGTTGTATATACCGTACACATGACAAAAAAATTGCTTTAGAAGAAAAACGGGCACGCATATTTCTCCCCCCTCCATTCTCTCCCCCTCTTGGGCGCGGGTCCCCCCAGGCCCCAGGGTCCCGTGCTAGATCTCTCGCGCGGGGCGAATGAGTGATGAAGTTAGTGCCTTGGTGCCTGTCCCCCACCGTACACATGACAGCTACTGTGAGTGAGTGAGTGAGTGAGTGAGTGAGTGAGTGAGTGAGTGAGTGAGTGAGTGAGTGTGAATACTCACTCCCACGGTCCCCAGCTACTCTGTGCACGATGATAAAAACAATAAAGTCGTCGCCGCGTCACCCCGCCGCAAAGACGCAGTCCTCTAGATCGCGCGCCTCCCTCAAAGCCCTGTACCGATCCGACTGCGCCGCGAGCTCCTCCAACGACAGCTTCTTGAGCTCTTCCGTCAGGGCAGCGCTCGCCCGGCTGACTCCCCGGGTCTGCTCCTCTGGATGGCTCGGCCCGCGGTAGGGAGCGTTGCGTCTGGGAGCGGCCGCCTCGGCCGCTTCATCCTCAGCCACTTGCAGCACGTACGCTGCCTCCGCCGTCAGCCCGTCAAAGTACCCGTCCGCGTCTCGCTCGATGGCCGCTCCGCCTGCCTCGACGAGCCGCACAGCCGGGTCGCCTCGGAAGACGTAGCCAATGCAATACCTGGGAGCGAGCGGGGGTTGGGCTGGCTCGGATGCAAACCCATCTCAGCTCTGCCAATCAGATCAGTGCGAGCGAGCGAACGAGCGAGCGAATATATGTGTGTGTGTGTGTGTGTGTGTGTGTGTGTGTGTGTGTGTGTGTGTGTGTGTGTGTGTGTGTGTGTGTGTGTGTGTGTGTACCACTCACTCTGCGTCGACCGCCGCCCACGCGAGCCGCGCCGTCAGGCCTCCCGCGCCGTGCACGAGCGTAAACTCGCTGTTGTAGTGGTTGTATTGCACGCGCACGTTGCCCAGTGGGGCAGTGGTGATCTCCGTCACTGACGAGTGTGGTAAACGTAAAGGAGCAGGAGAGCTCTCTTCTTGCCCCGCGGGCGGCGGCTGCTGGCCTCGGTGGGCATCGCCGAGCCTTGAGACGCCCCGCTTTGATCCACGCTGCTTTGGCGCAGGACTAGCTCCGGAACCTGTGCTGTGACCTGTGCCACCCCGGCTCCGCGCTCCCGAGCCCGCGAGCGGCTTGCGCGTGCCGCGTGCTGCTGGCGGCGGCGTGCTACGAGAGGGCGCGATGATGGAGCGACCGGAGACGCCAAGCATGGTGGCGCCAAGCACGGCTGGTGCCGGCGGGGGCATATGCACACACATATATAAACAACAGATATTTGGACCTTTCGTCACCGCGCTGGAGCGGACGGGCGCGGTCGTAACGATTGTCCTGCCCCCCCCCCCCCCCCAGGCACAAGATCGGGTCACAGGCCGGCGTTTACTTCCGCAGGCTGCTGAGGAAACAACTCTCGCAGACTCGCCGAGGCTCGCCCTAGCTGTCTGAGAGAGGTTTATTTAGTTGGCAACATCCGTTGTTTGTGTTGTTTTGTGTTGTCCATCCAGCAAACTGCAAGCAAGCAAGCGGCCAAACGCATCCTGGACCTGTGAACAGCGCCCCGTGTTGCGTGACTGTCTCTGTGCGATTTCGGCCCGGGTTTGTCGTTTATGTGAATTATTATCAGCCTACTGTGAACAGCGCCGCTTCGATCGGCGCAAAAATCCCTTGTCGCTTGTGGAATCCGTGTACACAGCACGCCTGGATTCGATGATGGGCGCAAAGCGCGCTCTTCAGAGCGCCGACTACCCTGCCTGCTGCACGGGCGCCAACCAGCGCGTTGGCTGGGTGGTGGGCACGGGCTCCCTGAACGGCGGCAAGCCGGCGGACAACGCGGACGACTGCTGCGCGGAGTGCGCGGCGAACACTGCGTGCGTGGCCTGGACCTACAGCCGCCCGGGAGGGGCGGCCAGAGGCTTGTGCTGGACCAAGGACAACGAAGATGAGCCCCGCCTATCGGACGACCCGGACGTCACGTCGGGCCAGCTTTCCAACGGATGCTCGAGAACGGATGCCCGGCGCGAGGCGGACTGTCAGCCGGACGCGGCTGCCTTCTGCGAGCGGTTTGGCGAGGCCTGGCAGCTTAGACCTGGGCAGAACTGCTACGACTCGGAGTATGACTGCATCAAGCCCGTGCCCTCCCCGCCGCCACCGCCGCTGCCGCCCGTGCCGCTGCCGCCACCCTCGCCCTCGCCACCGCCGCTGCCGCCCTCGCCGCCGCCGCTCACCCCTGAGGGGTGTGCGCCGGACGGGGCAGCCTTCTGCAGGCAGTATGGCGAGGCCTGGAAGGCTAAGCCGGAACGCGCCTGCTACAACACTCCATTGGACTGCGTCGCGCCACCGCCGCTGCCGCCCGTGCCTTTCCCGCCCTCGGCATCGCCGACACCTCCACCGCCAGCTCCGCCGCCGCCCTCTCCGCCGCCGCCCTTGATGTCCCCGTCCCCGCCGCCGCCCTCGGCATCGCCGACACCTCCACCGCCCGCTCCGCCGCCGCCCTTGATGCGCCCCTCCACGCCACCGCAGCTGCCGCCCTTGTCCCCGCCACCGCAGCTGCCGCCGCCCACGTTTGTATGCGGTACCGGGGGGGCGGGAACCGATAGACCAAGCACGGATGGCTACGACTACTGCGCGGACAACAGGGCCTGCCCTTGCGGGCCGTGCTGCTATTGCGACTGCGTACTTGCACCTCCGCTTGCACCTCCAATGCCGCCGCCGCCCTCGGCGTCACCGACACCTCCACCGCCCGCTCCGCCGCCGCCCTCTCAACCGCCGCCCACGATGCCCCCCTCCCCACCGCCGCCCTCGGCATCGCCGACACCTCCACCGCCAGCTCCGCCGCCGCCCTCTCCGCCGCCGCCCTTGATGCCCCCCTCCCCACCGCCGCCCTCGGCATCGCCGACACCTCCACCGCCCGCTCTGCCGCCGCCCTCTCCGGCGCCGCCCATGATGCCCCCCTCCCCACCGCCGCCCTCGGCATCGCCGACACCTCCACCGCCCGCTCCGCCGCCGCCCTCTCCGCCGCCGCCCTTGATGCCCCCCTCCCCACCGCCGCCCTCGGCATCGCCGACACCTCCACCGCCCGCTCCGCCGCCGCCCTCTCCGCCGCCGCCCTTGATGCCCCCCTCCCCACCGCCGCCCTCGGCATCGCCGACACCTCCACCGCCCACTCCGCCGCCGCCCTCTCCGCCGCCGCCCATGATGCCCCCCTCCCCACCGCCGCCCTCGGCATCGCCGACACCTCCACCGCCCGCTCCGCCGCCGCCCTCTCCGCCGCCGCCCTTGATGTCCC